AAAATTTTCCTGCTTAAATTTAATGGAGAATTTCATTACGCCACTAGCTTTGATTTTTCTAAAAAATATATATAATCTATTTTCGTAACAAAAAGCGATAAATGTTCACATCAATCGTCCCCAAAAATATTTCTTCATCTCCTTCTGCCTTTCAAGAATGGACTTCAAACCTGCTTTGGCTTGAGCTCATCGTTTGGCAGTTCTGCTGTCATTTATTCTTCATTGTGGATGGTAATTCAAAATGGATTTTGATCATTGCGCCGTATCTTTCATTAGAAAATCTGCATAATGCCGCATCACGGTTTATCAGAGGATATTCAAAATTATATCTGAAAAATAGTTGTTATTCATACATTTGGTTTCCTCAACCCTTGCGCTCTTATTAATTATTAAAACATTAATATATTTGTTAGCATTTATAAACTTGGCCGGTCACGGAAGCCGAGCGGTCTAAGGCATGTACTGTCTTCGCTCGCTTGGAAACCGGGATCGTGGGTTCTAATCCCACTCAGGGCATGGATGTTTAGTTTGTGTGTGTGCGATTTCTGTGTTTGTGTACAGGTAGAGACCTTGCGACGAGCTGATCACCCGCCCAAGGAGTCCTACCGAACGTGTAAGATCTAGAAAAACCGAAGTGAACGGAGAAGTTCATGGAGGTAGGCCTAGGCCCACTGGGGCTGTAGTGCCAAGGAAAAAAAAAAGTATAAACTTGATATCATTGAAGGCTTACCAAGCGAATGCTCCAGCTGTTAAAAATGTCAACAGTGTTAAAGTAAGCAATTACTTATGGACCTTGTAACTGTATACATCAGTCAGCAAAACAGTGTGATGTGTCTGATACTATGACAATGGCCTAATTTGCACCAGCCACAATTCGTGAAATGAATGGATGGAAGAACTTCAGACTGATGCCTTATAATGTCATTAAATACAAGTCTTAAAATTGACAAGGTAACATAATTCTAGGTCGCATAATGAATTGACTAGCACTTTTATTAAGGACCTCTTCTTTCTGATTATGTTGCACATTAATATTATTATTACATGCCAACAAAACGTGTCATGGACACAGTGGCCTTTCTATTCATGAAGGGCGTTTTTGAGAAGGTCAAACATAGTGGGGAACTGTAATGAAAACAAAACTGTTTTAAGTCAGAAAATTTGCAAATACTTAAAATAATTGAGTCAGTATTCTGGGTTAAGGTTCTCACAGTGATAACTATGAACAGTTCAGTCATCTGGGATATAACATCGCGCAGTCTGGTGAAAGCTGAATGACATTTTGGAGGAACATATCGCCTCCATCTTCAGGGTGGAAGAGTAGGCCAAGCAGAAAATTAGCCTGAAGCAGGCAGCAACCACAGCTAGTTTCTTTCTTGGTTTACTCTTCGATCCTGATTATAGAAGCTATATATACCTCCAAAATGTCGGTTAACTTTAACTGAACTACACAGTGCTATATTCCAAAGACAGAACTGTCAAACGGAATCAGTAGTTGTCTCATCTTTTGAACCTGAGAAAATATCTTTCATGCTTCTTTTTGGTCTGCTTTTAGGACTTCATTATCTCCACAGTGTTTCTAAATGATATTAGCCAGATTTATCACAATGCTCATCATCATTATATAACTGAATTGTTATTAGTATTATACAAGGGAGAGAGTCAGTAAATTGATCACAAATGGAAGTAAAATTAATGACAGTCTAGGTATCAGATTCGCATGCACATGTGCAGAAGCTGGTTTCAGTAGTCAAAATGGCGACCGTGCTGAGGAGTGTACTATTGAAAAGCAGGGTTCTGTTGTGCTTTTTGGGGGGGGGAGTAGAAGGACTTGGTGCAAAGGATATTCACAAAGAAATGTTTCCTGTTATGGTGGGAAATGTTTGTCTCTTAAAGCGGCTCACAGATGGGTCAAGAAGTTCTCTCAAGGACGTTCAAAAGTTGCAAATAATACACAACCAAGTCGCCATATTGAGGTTGCGACAGAAGAAACAGTGTAACTATTGGAAGAGTTGATTCATGCTGACAGTAAGATGACGATAGACATTGCAGCTGTCTAGACTGCGCCAAGATATTCCCATGGTGAAACATATGGCGAAATGCATGATAATTTGGAGTTTTGTAAAGTGTGCGCATGGTGGGTGCCCAGAGAACTGAAGGATCAAGAGAAAATTAACCTAATGGGTCTGTCCATGCAACATCACTTATGGTATGCAGACGAAGGAGAAGATATGCTTAAGAGGATTGTTCCTAGGGATTAATCATGGATGCATCACTATTGGCTCAAATCAAAGGGCGCTTCAGTGCCATGGAAACATCCCAGTTCACCGTCAACCAGAAAGTTTAATGTTATGCCATTAGCTAGGAAGGTTATGCTTACCATGTTTTGAGATTCTCAGGGAGTACTGTTAGCCCATTTTCAGAAGTATGGTGAAGATGTGAATTCTGCTTCATACTGTGAAGTTCTGTTGAAGGCATGAGGTGTACTGCTTCATCACAAGAATGCCAGACCCCATACAGCCCGAGCAAGCCAGGAGAGAATTCAAGAACTACAGTGGGAACTTGTTGAACATCCCCCTTACAGGCCAAAGTTGGCCCCTAGGGACTTTCATCTATTTGGTCCTCTAAAAACCACCTTGGTGGCAAACACTTTGCTGATGATGAAGAGGCTGAAATGGAGATGTAGAAATGGCTGAAACAACAGTCACAAACTTCTGTGGCACAGGTTTTGATGCACTGGTAAAGTGAGGAGACAAGTGCATCATTTTTTTTTTTGCATCAATGCTGATGGAGAATATGTCGAGAAATAGATGTATTTTCCAGGTTTGAATATCACATGTATTATGTTTTGTATCTATTTTTGACCTATTTACTGACTCTCCTATGTATTATGATCACTATTGCCATGTTATTCCCTTCATCATAATTTTCATCATCATTAAACAAACAAAGAAAATGAGCCAATTGAAAACACACTCTTCTCTTTCATCAAAGGACAAATATTCTGATGTAGCAAACATGTGTGGATGATAATATATAACAACTGGATACTTAACTAAATGGAGCTGAGTGTTCCTTGAGGAGATAGAATCACTCACCTGTTAAAAAAAAGCTCTGTTCCTGAAAAGACAGATGAATTCAGAGCACGACTTCCCACCCTATCCCTTGAAGATCCATTTTAATATTATCTTCCTATCCATGTCTGGCTCCTGCAAAATGTCTCATTTTTTCAGGTTCTCCAATAAAAGTTCTGTATGCATGTCCAGTCTCCTCCATGCATACTACTTACCTGACCCATCTCATCCACCCTTGATCTGATCAACCTAATAGTACCTGATGAGGGTACAAATTACAAAGCACTTCATTTTGCAGTCTTCTCCGGCCTTCTATCACTTCCCCCTCTTAGATCCAAATATTTTCCTCAGCATCATGTTTGAAAACATCTCAATGTGTAGTTTTCCCTTAAGTGTGAGGGACCAAATTTCACACTCATAGAAAATTACAGGTTACATTGCAAGTAGTTTTGTATGTTGTAATCATATTTTTAGATAGCTGACAGCAAGATTAAAGATTCTGAACTAAATGAGAGCAAACATGTCCAGAATTGAATGTACTCTTAATTATTTCATGAATGCAATTTTGATTTTTTACCATTATCCCAAAACATTTCAATCTGGCCGCATTTTTTAAGGATTTACCCCTTATCTTATATTATGATTTTGACTAACAATCTGGTAATCTCACTGCCATCTGTGAAGCAGTTGTCTAGAAAATGTGGCAGCATTGACATCTCATAACCCTATGGGCCTCCATGGCCTGTTAACAGGGATAGCTTTACCTTTACCTTACATTCTGGTTACAGGATTCCATCATATACATAGCATTCTCTGTGTTACTTTTAGATTAATCTTCTTTCTAGTGTGTAATAGAGATTTTTTTCCTTCCCTTTGTTGGATTTAAGTTTTTGACCACTAAGAAACTACACGGAGCTGAGCCCTTCCTGAGAAGCTGGCAGTATGTTGACATAATCAACACAGAGCAGAAATTGATGTATCCTGTTGAATACCACATACTAAAGCAAAAGAGAAAAAGCAATAGTGACAAAACATCTCTTTGTCTCAGGTAATTCTGAATAGGAAATGTATGAGATAAATGTTGGGGCATGCGGTAGCATAGTTGGTTGAGGCACTATGCTATAAGCTGGAAGGTCGTGGGTTCAAGTCCCAATGAGGACTTGAGGACTTCAATTTTCTATGACCTTGGGATTGACCCAGCCTCTAACAGAAATGAGTACCAGGAATTTTCCTAGGTGGTAAAGGGTGGCAACCTCCCCAAGAAAATGCTGGGATAGTACTTTCAGAGAGGTCATGACTGCCTTGTTTGACGCTGTACAGCCCACGAACTCTTAGATTGGAAAGTGTAAAGTAAGTGAAGTTGTCCCCATGCTTAACTAATTAAGCATTATGCCATGAAGGCGTATGGGGGACTGGATGTATAGATCCACTTTTCTTGACCTCAGCCCTAGTTGGAGGTGAGTGGTCAGCTTCATGCACTAGCCAAATTACCCCTGGGGAAAGAGCCCCCAGTACCCATTTGATAGGCGGTTGTGTGAATTCCAGAGCCGGTCTGAACGATGTGGAGAAGGAAAATTCTTGACCCTACCGGGACTCGAACCCCGTCCCCGCGGTCGTCCAGGNGCCAAATTACCCCTGGGGAAAGAGCCCCCAGTACCCATTTGATAGGAAGCTGTGTGGATTCCAGAGCCGGTCTGAACGATGTGGAGAAGGGAAAATTCTTGACCCTACCGGGACTCGAACTCCGGCCCCGCGGTCGTCCAGCCCGTAGCTATTCGCTATACCTACGCTACCGACGATACCGACAACGCTCTCCCGACACCCACTGTAAACATAGAGAGTAGAGAGTACTTGGTAATCCGTGGTGTCGGGTTGTATATGGGATCCGTGGTAACCCGGTCCCCGATTGGAAATACTCTGGCGGAGGGGAACCGGAATAATCGTCAGTTAACATGATTTCAAAAGTTAATATTTGGGTTGGAGGCTACCACAGCGGCTTGATTTAAATTTTATGAAATCCGATTATTAGGGTGTGTTTCTCATCATGCGGTCTGATAAACGAAGTGAATCGTTTACATTTCACACAACTGATTTGGATATAAGAACACAAGTTGAACATGGAGCAACTAAAGCAACACGCCGGCGTCTTCAAGATCGGTTTGACAATGAATGCCAATGTACGTTAAAGTCAACCAAACAACGTATCGAGACGGCACAGAGGAGGTGGACAAATTTGAATTTCTCTTCAGTGTCTCTGCCACCCATTCATCCACACCGATTTCTGCGTTCCGGAGCAGATAAGTTATCCAAAACTTTGAATAATGTGCGTACAACGTTTGGCGCATTTTCGCAAGTAAGTACTTGAAAAGACAACAGATTTTAGCAAAATAGTTTTTTATATTTAATTACTCATAATAGTTCAGAATAATGTGTGTAGCTGCAGTGAAACATTGTAGGTAGTCTGTTATTGTCATGAAATAGGATATGTACGTAGTTCCTTTTGTACATGTACAAAATTTATACAAAACTATAGTTTTGCCTGTGGTTCTGTATGGGTGTGACACTTGGCCTCAGATATTAGCGAGGAATATAGACTGAGGGTGTCTGAGAACAGGGTGCTGATGAGAATATTTGGACTGAAGAGAGATGATGTGACGGGAGTTTGGAGAAAACTGCATGATGAGGAGCTTCATAACTTGTACTGTTGGCCAAATATAATTCAAATGATCGAGTCAAGGAGGATGAGATGGGTAGGGCATGTAGCATGAATGGAGGAGAAGAGGAATGCATATAAGATATTGGTGGGAAGGCCAGAAGGAAAGAGACCATTACAACATATGTGGGTGGATAATATTAGAATGAATGTTAGAGTGATAGGATGGGATGGTATGGATTGGATTGATCCGTCCCAATGAAGGGCTTGTGTGAACATGGTAATGAATCTACGGGTTCCATAATATGCTGGGAAGTTCTTAAGTAGCTGCATAATGGGCAGCTTCTTAAGAAGGGCACAGTTCCATGAAGATAGTCCATTGAAGTAATAAGAAAGAATAGATTTTAATGAAAACCCTTTTATTCACCCAGTTTTATGTCTTATAAATGAATAGGGCTGATAGGCACTTAGGAGTGTATGGGAATTTCACAGTTCGGGTTCTGGAAGGGGATAAGATGAACTTCATTCCAGTACTACCCTTCATTATCCCCAGTAACTCATAACTAATAAAGTAACAAGTGGCATTACTCATGAAAATCTGTAGAATTTCCCGGTGCCCATTGGTATCTGAGGTAAGAAGTATTCAGCTCCCTTTTCTTTTTTCTCATGACAGTTTTATGCTCTTTCATCTCTATCTTAAGGCACTCATGCATAAACATTCTTTTCAGTTTCTTGCAACTGAAATGCTTTAAATCACACAATTTCTGTACTATGTATCGTATTGGTTAATTTATGAGCGAGGCCACTATTTATGCCTGTTTCATCAGGCAAGTAAGCATAGTTCTCAGTGATACAAACACTGGACAAAAGTTACTGTTCACCAAAACAATTTGTGATTAGTGAAGGAAGTGTTGGTTTACTTTATTGTTGGTTAGCATTGTGTGAAGTTAAATTAGAGTGAGTTACTTTGTATTTGTTTACTGCAGGTTAAAATAAGTTATATGTTTAGGACAGGTGGTAATATTTGCATACATGTTGTTTCCTCAGATTTATGGAGCTTTGGATGCATTGGGAGAATATCGTAAGAAACATGTGATGTTACAGAGGGACCATGGCTAAATTTATATATGTTTACAGTATAAGTAACCACTAGATTCCAGAGCACTCAAAGGAAAATAAATTAAATAATGGCATACATACAGCTCGTATGAGTGCGCCATCGCCATGTGGTGCAGGTTGCCATCTGAAGGCAATTGCTTGAGCATTTGCTGGACAGATAAATTATACACATTCCATGAATTCCAGTTACTTAGGATGTGGAATAAGTCAGTGTGCAAATGAACACAATCAGCAGGCCATGGTAGAATAGGGCACAAAACACGTGATACACTTAATTTCACATAAACAAGGATTTCCTTATAATTGTTCCACATTAAGTATTACAGTCCCATTTGTAATTTACTAAGCAGCTGTTGATTATGCTTCATGGGTAAAGTTTTCTGTCAGTAGGTGCACTATCTGTATATGTTTCTGTGGTCTTGTATTGATGGTATGATGCAAACCCAAGATTTGTGTTCATTATGTTAACAGAATTTACTGAGAGTTGAGATAACTCAGTCAGTATAATGATGGACTATAGACTGGACAGTCAGGATTTGATCCCTTGCAGGGGCAAGACATTTTCTCTTCTCCGTAACTTCCAGACTAGAACCGGAGCTCCCCCAGCCTCTTCTCCAATGGATACCAGGACCTCTTTCCCTGGGGGGTAAAATCACCAGGGAGTGAAGTTGACCACCCACCTCCAACTAGTGCCAAGATCAAGAATATTGCAGCTATTGTAACTCTAGCACCATTATATCCACTTTTACTCACAATATTAAATTCACACAAACACACAGTATCATCCAAGACTGCAATACTAACCATTATTTAAATGGAAGACCAGCTATACTGTGTCACTAAAGTTCATTTTAGTATTGTCATCTTATCTCTATCTTAGTCTTCCGAGATGACAATTTCCAACAAAATTCTGAATTAATTTCTTTTTTCTCCCATCCTGACTACATTCCCTTCCCATTGTAAATGCCATGTTTAAAATATCTTAATTCCAGGAGAAGTGTGCTGTGTATTCTGGGATGTAATGCTGTATAGCCCATTGAAAGTCAGCCGACATTTTGCAGGCACATGTGCACTCCATCTTCAGGGCTGAAGAATATACCAGAATATACCAGTCAAGAAACCAGCATGAAGCAGGCAACAAGCAGAGCTCTGGTTTCTTGCCTGGCTACTCTTCAACCCTGGTGATGGAGTTAACATATTCCTCCAAAGTGGCAGTTGACTTTCAGTGCACTGCACAGCATTATTTCCCAGTAGATAGAACTGTTCATAACCACACTGCTGTGAGAACATTGAATCCTACAGTACTAGGAGAATTGACGCTGTATAATTTAGATACTGACAGTATCATTAAATAAAAAAATGAAAAAGAGATACCATGGCAAGGGTATAAATTATTGTAAATGTAATTTTTTTGCTACATTTTCATGTTTAATAAATTTTTGCGTTACAGAAATTTCGCAGCTCAACAAGGCGCCGCCATCGTCTGAAGAATGAATCACCACATTCTCCAGTGACTCCACAATCTCGATCTCGGCATCTTTTGGGTCGTACTCCAATCAAACTGTACAGCCCCTTCGGAATTGAGTCTCCCTGTCAAAGGAATGTACGAAGTGGTGGCAACAGAGATAAGGAGAATGAAACAATTGCTGGCAGACACACTTATCAACGAAGGTAATAAAATACAAAGTGCCCAACTCCACGAGGACATTGGAAGCACGCAGACTGTGGCATGGAGTCTTAATATGATGGCACCAGAAACAAATTTAACATTAACAGTTCATAGTATGCCTTTTTCAGAATTAAAAGATTTGTGGACTTTTGCAGTAACAACTCATGAGGAGACTGTGACTTTATGAACAAAATTAATTTGGCTTCATCATTGGATATGTTTTATAAGAAACGTAAAGGCCCTCTTATATTTATATGCCCTTCTATAGTCATACAAACTCCATGGAGAAGAGTCCCTTATGAAAACCAATAGCTACTCAGTTAGTACAAAATTCCCACAAATTATGAAACCCAGAATTCATTACTGTGTTCACAAGATCCTGCCACTGGGTCCTACTTTGACCCAGATAAATCCAGTCCTCACCTTGACACGCTACATCTGTAACTCCACACAGTTTCTAAAATTTAAGTTATCTGATTTTACCAATGTAACAGTGACCTCTTGTCATTGACCAGTATAACTGTGTAACAACAATTTTGCAGGAATGTCATCTGTTCAAGCTGTTACAGATCAAGGGGATCTGGACCTAGCCATCAGACTAGTGTGCATGATGGCACTCAACAAGTTTCAGTCTATAGCCCACAACAGAAATTTGATTCAGATTTGGAAGAAGCTCGTATTGGTATCTGGGAGCTCAACCAGACTGCTAATAATATTGCGAGGCACAATTTGAGGCACTGAATCACATGTGCACAAACAGCAATATATTTCAGTCACTTTGATTTTGTTATGTAAGTTTACTATATCTGCTTTCTTATGCCAGTTAGCTACAATGATGCATATGTCATCATATTATCAACAGAAGCCATTGATTTTATAGTGATCTACACTAGACAATGGCTACTGCTTTCATTTAACTTATGTTTACTTGAAAGATTTAAAAGAGAAGAAACCGTGAAGTTGCATGTTAGATATATTTAAGGAAAATATATGCTGATAGACAAGTGACAATTTGTGAATGCTTAATATCTTCACTGTACATGTATGTTGTTTCCGTAAATGATTATTACTACTTGATATGTAAGTTTAAAGATAGTGTTGTTGATTTGGAAAGTGTTTCTGAAGTAGCCCATGGTTAAATGCTACCGGCAAAGCTTTACTCAGTCTAGCGACATGTTTATCTTATTTTTGCCATAACCCTTTCACTGTTTTGTGCATAAATACTTTTGGAGATATTTATAGATTACCTGTGGTAAAAGACAGAAGTGTGTCTTAATCCCTGATTTTGGTACCACACATAGCCAGATAAAATTGGCCAGAAGGTAAATGTGTTCCTGTGTATTTAATTGAGAATGCGTGAAGCTTTACCTCTATATTTCCTACACAGCTTCATGTGTGATAATTAAGCACAGAGGTCTCTTTTTGGGTATTACATAGGTAATGCACTTTTGCCACCTGGAAAAGCATTCTGCATTATGGATGTGACTGTTCTGTCAGAGTGCTGTAACATATTCTGACAAATTCTTCGGGAAATGACATAGTTTAAGAAAAATATCTTAGATATACAGATAGTTAAAGGCACATAAATAATACATTTGTATGTGCAGAGAAATTCACTGTATTGTCTCCAGATTCTTGTCATGTCATTAATGCTGGATAACATATAGTTACCTCACATTTATCTTAACAAACAATGAGAGGGTTAAATATTGGGCAGCCAAAGAATTAAGAAACTAAGTGATGTGCTTAGTAATCACTAAACAGGTCAGTCAAAAGTCTGATAATTAAACCCATTGTTACCAAAAATTTGTAGCTGATATAACAGCAAGTATTAATAGACTATACTTAATACATTTTGAGTACAAAAATAAAATTTTCAACAAAGAACTAACATGTACAAAGGGAGACAGAATCCTGAAGCCTACATTTATGTTAAGGTAGCCAGTTGATGGAGTGCTGCATGCCAGACTGATTGATTATGATTAGCAGAAGACAGCCCCCCCCAATTCTCTTTCATGCATACACATACAAAATGATGGAAGTTATACTTTTCCTGTCATCTTCCTTTGACAAAGCCTGGTCTCAGGTATTTATATAGCTGAAGTTATATTGACATGGGCTGTCCAGTGATTGAAAGTTAACTCTTTCTAATGGACCCAACAGAGTAGGTGTCTCCTCCCTCACCTGAGGACAGAACCATATCCAGTTTCCAAGATGTCATGTTCTCTATTTTTTTGTAACACCATACAATGTACAGAGTTCGAAAACCCAGTAATTCTGAGGGCTAAATCTGCTGTTGAGCATAATCCTGAGGACACTACATCCATCTCCCATTCCTAAAGTCTGCTTCTCTAATATCTGTCCGATTGCTGTGTTCTGGCATTCTCAATATCATATCCACATAAAACAAAAATGTAGCCAAGTTTGCTGTCATTATTTCATAGAGTATGCAAATTTAACAGCTGCTGATGTTCTTAATGTAGATGGAAGTGGTTTGATCAAAGGACAGACCCACTCCAGTTAATGTTATCTACTACAAATTCCCATATGTATTCCATGATATGCTTGTTTTGTAATATATTGTATTTACATGTGTTTTTAGTTAGGAATAAAGTTCAACTTTCAGAACTATGCAAGTAGCTTTAGTGCAGCTTTTCAAGATACTTTAGTCTTGTCATGAATTGTGTATGCAGGGGTTCTCAGATTGTGTGATACCATGAGCCTCTAAAATTTACACAATCCCCATCTCTCTTTGTCAGTGAAAAGTGCAGGTCCCTATCAGGCTACATTGACAACAGGAACCTAAATAACTTTACAGCCTCACTGCCCATACAGCAAGCTATGAAATGTTCCTGCACAGTCTGGAAAGAAATGTTTCAGGGGCTGCAGCTGTATTTTCCAGAAGCATCTATGATAAATTTAACTGACTTGCCAAAACTGTGTGGATGTAGCTATATTTTAAATAATTCTTTGAGAATTTGGCAGCTCCCCCATATAGCTAGTGACCCACAGTTTGAGAGACCATGGTGTAGCGCATTTGACAGAGTAAGCGTTTATAATTTTGATACATATTATACAGAATTCCTAGACAAGTTTGAATTAGTATTTTTATAGAGTCTTAAGAGTATTTTTTTTTATTTTGTGTATTTAGAAGGGTGTATCAGATGAACTCATTGTCAGTAAGTTCCAGGAAAGAATATGTTGATGTGGACTTAGCATATTGCCAGTAACTTAGTATATATATTGTGCAGAAGTTGCAAGAGGTAATGTAATATCAGTGCACTAATTCTGACATATTTGAACTTGAAGGTAATGAGATTGAGGCTTTTAGACAATTTTACACCAAATAATATTGCTGAAATTTAATCATATGCAGCAAATATGGTTGATTCGTTAATGTGTGCGTTATGTTTCTTTAGTGTGTAAGCAGTAATTTAATTCACAAATTTGTATGTGCTGATCTCTTCCTCACAAGTATTTCTTTTACAACAAAATTTTGCATACTGCTGTAGACATCCCAGATGTGAGTTGGAGTTTGGTAGGTGTGAACCACCCTTCAGATTACAAGTGATTGCTTGTTTGGTTCTTTGCTAACAATTTGTTTACCTATGTCATTGTTTGCATTCCACTCCCCCCCCCATTGTTTTTCAGTTTCTTTGTAACACGTTTTCTTGTGACATACATATTTAATCAGTTTTTTGGTCTTAGTGGATGCTTTATGTGGTCGAAGTTTGCAAGTCGAGGGCAGTAATAAAGGAGGTGTGTGTGTGCAGTTTATGTTACCATTATTCTAAAAATATCCATTATATGCTGATCCTACCTCTCGCTTAATAATGTTATTGGTTTTTGTTACTGAAATTTTAGTCAAAATAGCCAATTAAACCATGTACCAGAATCCAGTCCCCATATGCCTTCATGGAATAGTGCTTAATTAGTTAGGCACAGGGATAACTTTTCCTTGTCTTTTTACCAGAATTATGTACTTTGCTTTCTCATGGTAGTGCTATGTAGCAATTTGGTACTTCATTTTAGTCCTCAGCTTTCTAGGATATTCTTTTGTTTATAGCAGTTTTCTGTCAGTAGATTCTGAATACCTGTATGGTCGGACGTGGAATCAAGTCTAAAGAGAGAACATATTTTTGTGTTATATCCATATTTAATACATATTTAAAAGCATAAGAAAGTGATTACAGGTGACCTCTGACATGACAGGCAAACTTATGACCCCCCCATGTTTATGACTATTTTTGCACGCCATATTTACTCAGATAATACCCCAACTTATGTCTGCTTCTCGCATTTATCACCACCTGCAATGAACTGTCACTTTCTTCTTTTGTCCAACAAACCTCCCTCTCCACAAAGTACAAATTATCTAATAAGAGAGAATTGAACTTTTGTGATATGAATTTTTAAAATGTATTTTGATTCTTTTTGTACTGAATGTGTCTTAGTTGGCACTAAACTTCGCCGACAAGCCGCAGTTGCTCAGTCAGTGTATTTTGCTTTCAGACTAAAATCACATAGTTCTTTTTTTCTTTTCATTTATTAATAAATGTCTGTAAAGACATGTAATTATTGTTTTACTTAGTTTTCCTCCATTTTATTAGTCAGTTTTCATAATATTGGGACATTAAATGGATTTCCAGGAACTTAACTGCAATTTATAACATTGCTCTTGCAGGGAATAAGGTTTGACTTATGATGGCTCTCCACAAACCAGTTAGGTTGTAAATGTGAGGATCACTTGTATACACTCCTCTCCAAGCACAAATCTAAAATCAGGTCAAGTTATGCTACAGATAGGCTTAAAGTAATCTGTAATGAGTATATAAACAACAATCATTATATAAGTTACTGTGGGATGTGCTCAGTATCGATCTCATTTGCATTTACTTGATTAGCCATTATAAGATTGTGGTGGTACTGCTTACATATCATTAAGATATCAGTAAGAATGAGACTGTATATCAGTCTTCAAAACATGTGTGATCAGAAATTTTACCAGTCGTATATATTTAGTGGTAAAGTAGTACTGAATACAGAAATCAGAGATGTTGAACATTTACAATTGAATATTATGTTCTGTTTCCAATGTTTTACTACAGTCATAAACAGTGATTACTGTAACTAAGAAAATAAATATCAATGGGTTTTCTAATTTATATCTTTGACTTTCCAGTATATTCAGAAGCTTAGATCATATTAAGCTGGCCATAAGGGCTACTGTACAATTTCTCATTTTGCTAAATTGTGAATACCTAGTTGTAATAGTTTTTATAATCAGGGAATTGCCTGATCTAACCTCAGACAAGCTGATATGTTTCATTGCTCATAAATAAAATGTCCCAACAAAATTCATGGGTATTCCCCCTGCAAGGAGTGAAGGGGACAAAATCTTGTCATTTAATGGTAAAGTACATTTAAAATTTATACCTTTATCAATACTTTATTCCCACTTCGAGAATGGTCTTTGTAAAACTGGCATGTTTATCATAGCAAATATACATACATAAAACAATATTCCAGTTGTGACTGAATAACATCCATGTTGCTCCCAGCCCAGAAATGAATGCAGCACCAAGTGCGTACTGTAGAGTTTAGGAATTTGAAAACAAACAATATTTGTTGACTGTGTAACTAACTGCTGGTTGAACAGCATCTCTGTTGGTTGTGTAGAAATGTAGGTACTCTGTCACAGGTTCAAAATCTCAGGTTCTTTCTCTTGCAGGCAGCCAAATTTAGCTTCAGTCATGGAAATAATATTTAAAGAAATAAATAAAAACAAGAAAGTGAAGACTTTCAAATAGTGACTTCAGGGTTATCCAAAACATTTATTGATTCAACTCTTGAACTTACTGCGCCATAGCTCAAGCAGTTAGTCGCTGGCTTCCCATCACAGCGGCCCAGGTTCGATCCCGTGTCTGGTGAAGTGGGATTTGTGGTGGACAAAGTGGCGCTGAGGCAGGTTTTCTCTGAGTACTTCGGTTTCCCCTGCCTATCTTCATTCCACCAATTGCTCCACAATCACCCCACTAGCAATAAAGAAAGACTCTTGAGCTTCCTCTGGATCTGCAGAAATGTTACACTAGTGAGGTTGTGTGTTGTTTCATTATCCAGCAGAGTGGATGGATATGTGTATAATGCAGCGTGTGTGTAGTAATTGATAAGAAATGAGCAAGAAAAATATGACTGTTTAAAGCGGTATTCTAATGTATATCAGTATATGCAGCACATTCACTGCCATCTATGTGGACTTCATATTCGCCATTCCTCAGACAAAAACCATAATTATGGCAAATGTCTTAATGCAGTTGTCATTTTTTTTCTATCATTTGCTCAGATGTAGCCAGAAACTTCAAAGATTGAGAGATTTTATCAAATAAAATATGGTGTACCATAACTTCTTACTTTTTCATGTAGTGACTGTAAAGAAAATGTTGTGATTATGAAAAAAAATGTTTTTTAAAATTTTGATAAATAAATTTGTTTCAAGTATCACATATTCAAAAAGCTGGTTTTATTTGTCTATACGGAATCAGCTTAACTTGTTCTGTGGTTACCCAAAACTCTATGAGAATATGTACAATACTTCTCTCCTTACTGAATGTCTATGAAAAGCTAATGTACTGTCTTATTGTACTCCCGTTTTTTTTCCCATCATCTAGCAAATGCAGACATTCTGATCAGTAGTTGATCTGTTATGTCAAAACCCACGTATTGTATGCAGTTGCTCTCATGTGTATCCAGTTTTTTTAATGATTAAATAATCTTACAGGCCAATATATTTCGGCCATAATTGGCCATCCTCCAGAGCAACTTACGTTAAATAATTGGGTCACTTAAGTGAAATCTAATTTTAGGTCCTTAAAACTTATATATAGGAGCATCAAAAAGTTCCCTGATTCAGGCATAATTTTTAGTAAAACAGATGTATTGAAACCCCAGTCACACTTGAAGTGCTGCCCTTCTGCATGTACACACTTTCTCCAGTCTTGCCATTGCTGGAAGCCCTATTTGGTTATGGCTTTTGAGACCTGCTCTCACATGCTGTTAGCCACAGATGCAAATGATGACCTTAGAGCCCCATATCAAGTCTCGGGATGAGCCAGAAGTCACAAAGAGTGAGATGTGAAGAAAATGGTGGCTGGGTGATGGTTGGAATTTGGTTCTTCACCAAAATATGTTGCTATGTGAGGGAGGTGTGGCAGGGTGCATTGGTTTCTCCATGGCCAACTGCAGCACACTAATGTGTCTCAGCCTGTCGCAACTTGCTCCACAGATAACACACAGTTCAATCCCCCTCCAACAGGAAGCGTGTATCCCAATAAAACTAAATTCCAAGAGCTTCCTGATCCTTCCCTCATAAAATTAATCATATGTGGAATGGAATAGATGCTTTTTATCTTGTCTTGTCATCATGATGCTGAATATTGCTTTGTGTGATATGCTCATAATCTTCTCTAATTCTTTAAACAATTGTGGCCCCAAATGGGGTTATAACATGTACAACAGTATATATGAAAACCCTCAAGTGTGTTTATAGATTTTGTTGAAATTCAGTAATGTGCATTATTAAGCTGCTGAAATATGAATTTCACTTGTTTTACCTTATATATTTTATGCTTTTTTGCTGAAGTGCTCTTTGAAACAGGCCAAAAGTAAGCTTAATAAACCTAAAGCATATCATTGCATCATTGGGAGCCTTGTGTTCTACATTATGATGTATGCCTTACACCCCTTCCAGTTTTGTTCCCTGACCTTAAGTATATTCAGATTCCTGTAATATTCATAAATATTCCATTTTCATAAGCTAGTGGTAACTTGCATGACTTTTAAACTTGCTTTGTTCATCTCAGTACAAACAATTTGATAATAAAACTGTAAAATCTCTCACACAGTTGATATTATTTAGAATGAATTGCAGTATTCACATGAATATAAGACATGTTTTAAATTAATGTTATTTGTAATATGTATATGACAGTAATGTCAAATAAAGAACTGTGTATTCATCCAAACATGTTTTATTTCAGTTTTACTTATGAAATTAAGGGGTGCCATATATACTAGCAAATACAGTAATTACATTTTAATAAAGACAGAACTTTAAAGAAAATGAGGCATCATACATTTTCCCTGGATCTGACTTGTTTTGCTATGCCTTTGTATCATTCACAGTGCAAGTTTGCTAGTTTTTCAGAACTGCATTGTGTTAATGTTTCAGCATTCTGTTGTAGCTTGTCAGAGAAAGTTGGTTAATTTTTCAGTATCAAGTTTGTACATACAATATGTAAGTACTTAAAAATGGGGTAATACTATCTGAATGCCAGTCAATTCTCTGGTAGCAAACAGGTGTTTAACTGGTCTTGGTTACTTGTACTATGTTATGTTTTCAAAATAAAAAATACTGTATAGGTGTGCTGTTTCTATGGAAAGTGGGGAAATGCAAAATATAGTACATAAATTTTGTATCATGAGTGTACTACTTATGTTCTTAATCTTTCAGGCAGAACCTGCTGGTTCTAAGGGGTTGTGACAGTGGTGTATAATCCTCAGAATTGCTGTGTTTTTGGACATTCTCCATCATCCAGTATTCTAGAAACTAGAGAACATAACTTTTCAGAAACTGGATCTGTTTCTGTCCTCAGGTGAGAGGGGTGAAGAGACCTTCTCAGTTGGGTCCCTCAGAAAGAGCTATTTAATCACTGGAGACCCGGCCAATTCGCTGAATTAACTAGTAAATCTGACAAGGATTGTCCAGTGATTGAGGTTAGCTCTTTATGAAGCAACCAACTGAGTAGGCATCCGCCACCATTGCCTGAGGACGGAAACAGATCCAGTTTCCAAAACGTGTTCTCTAGTTTCTAGAATATTGGATGATGGACAAAGCCCAAAAACCCAGTAATTCTTAATATTAGCAATGTTATGCCAGAGATATTTGGTGAAAGAAACTTTAAACCGTGTATATAAGTGAAAGTGACCTTAAGTCGGTTTATAATTATAATGCAAAAGAAACCCCATTGCAGGTTACATGGCACATCCGACAACAGGAAAGTTGTGAACCTCTTTGGGCCTTGAATGATAAAGTTAGTTATGTGCTATTTATACTGCTGGGGCATTGAATATGTCAGTCCTGTTGTCTAATATTAATGGAAATCAGATGATGCGACAATACTTTGTGAATTAAGCACTGAGTAAACTTGTTAAAAGAATAGCAATTTTATGCCGTTGTCATGTATGTACAATATTTATAGAATCCTTTCAAAATTTATCATGTCCTAAGAAAAATAGAGGGATTGCCGTCACACAAAGAAATGTTTTTTAATTATCAGTTCACAACATGTTTCGGCCTGGACAGGTCATTTTGTAGCGGCAGCCACCCTCATTTTTATTGGTAAGCATAAACAGGATGCAACATTTCAAGATGTCCTAGGATAGTGAACATGCGAGCTAAACGGTCTTGCGCCTGCTTGAATGTCGTTTCTTAAAGTCATTTTTTCAGCAAGGGTAGGTTTCCATCATCACCAATTTACACGTCCACTTTCCAGGCGTCTGGGAAGGGAACGTAAATTGGGATTTACAAAGAGGATTTGTAGGACGGATTTCCACGTAGACCTAACTGGTAATGCCCTTACATATTGTAGTATGAAAAATAAAGCTTCCACATTCCTTCCTTCATCTGTTTCCGTCGATTTCCCATCAATCTACTATAGAAAATAAATGAATATCAGTCTAATTGTGGTATTCTGTGATACGGGATTAGGGTCTTGTGCTTTTCGTCCGCTTGATTTGTAACGCAATATGTTGCGTCAAATAACGTGTTCAAAGTGAAGTTATGCATATTAATTTAAAGTGTTCGTTGTAATGATCATTAATAGTGTCTGATAATGCATTTTTATATCCTGAATTTAGAATGACTGATGAAGTGACACTAAAGGTGCAGGTAAGATAGGCTATTGTTTACAGTTCCAGTAGGCCTAAGTATAATCAAATGGAATGCAAATTTAAAATTATATCGTAGTAGAGATGATACGTTTATTGATTATGTATCAAATAAGTATCGATGATACAGAGTTCTTCGACAAGTCCAAAACTATTCATCGCATTTAATACAGAAGGGCCAAGCAATATTTACAACAGTCCACAGTTTTACTAGACGTGCTGATAGGACAAATTAATGGAATACAGGAAATAGTATTGCATTTATTTTCAATTTTTTCTATAGGCAATGCACAATATTAAACGTGCATTATTGTTTTACTTGAAACTATTGGACGTCCTATATACTGTGGAGAGGTAGAAGGAAGAAGTTTTGGAGTAAAACGCCCCATATGTGCATTACTTCTTTAAAGACCGATTTTTTCTAAATTGTATTGACCTCGCGGGCATGAAGCTTGTTTCTAACCATTCGACTACGAAGTTCAGTGCTTTCACTTCTACCCCAATTCAACCCTTCAAATTCCATAGCCTATATTTTCTATGGTGTTTTAAAACACCTTGTAAGAAAATCCTTTCATGCAACACATCCTCGCCCGAAATATTTCCATGATGCCGTGCATATTTACCAGAACAAGCGTGAACTTCATGTCCGCATCTGTGGATGTGAACTGAAGTATACCAATTGGTACTGGTATACTTCAGTCGGAGGCCTTCTTATGCTGATATATTCTAAAGGGTTCTGACAATGATGTATGCCACCCAGAATTTTTTTTTAATTTGTCCATCTTCCGGTATTCTTTAACAATTATAGAACATAACGTTTCGGAAACCTCGGGTGAGGGGAGAAACACCAGCTCTGTTGGATCCGACAGAAAGAGCTAATCTCAGTCACTGGGCGAGATGATTGAGGTTAACTCTTTCTGAGGGACCCAACAGAGTAGGTGTCCCCTCTTATTTGGGGACGGAAGCAGATCCAGTTTCCGAAACGTGTTCACCAGTGTTTTTAGAATACAAGACGATGTACAAAAGTCCAAAAACCAAGTAAATATGACTGCTTCGTATACTGATTAATACAATATGAATATGAAGTTTGTTTGGTAGCCCTCGACATTTATAAATTCCCACAGAATTACGAACAAACTATCAGCCAAAACAAGAATTTTTTATTGCCATCTCAGTTTACTCTTTTCTTAGGCCGCGCCATAGCTCAAGCGGTTAGTCGCTGGCTTCCCAACGCGGCGTTCAGGGTTCGATCCCGGATCTGGTCAAGCGGGATTTTTGGTGGACAAAGTGGCGCTGGGGCAGGTTTTCTCCTAGTACTTCGGTTTCCCCTGCCAATCTTCATTCCACCAATTCCTCCACAATCACCCTCACCTATCATCTGGGGCTGGTACAATAAGCCAGAAGTGGCCGCAGTACAAGGGACTTAGTCCCACCCCACTAGCAATAAAAATAATACTATTTTATTGGTGTCATAAAGAAATGGGCAAGCTTGCCGATGCGATACGCAAGACCAAGTAACCGATCCGAGTACTTGAAAATTAAACTCAACATAGCTGGTAATGTTTAAAAGAAAATGTTTGTATTTTAGGTGATGGTCTTCTCTGCCCATCCCTTCGAATTTACTTTTCTTGCCCACTAATGCCGCTCACTAGAAGGTTTGTCCACCGCTGGAAATGGTAAGTACAATTTCAGAATTTCACGGTCCTCTCTAACTATTTTATGTTCGTTTTGTCGCGTACAGCAATGGTTCCGCTAATGTTAACATTAGAAATTTCTGACCGGCGTAAATAAAACTAATCGCTTGGCCATCTGTCGAGAAATACTGATGTTTAATACACGTATTAGACATTATTTGTCACCCATGGTACCAAACAACTATATAAATTTACTGCTTTTTTTAATAATCTAATTTAACCAAGGTTATTCTTTCATCAAAAGGCTGTTAAGGATTTGGGGCATTCGTCAATTTTTTCGGGCTCCGTTTTCTCATAGTCTCTTCAACACCGTTGTCTTTCTGTTCACGTCGCCAGATCATTCATCTGGCGAGCAAGAGTCTCGCCCTTCTCTCACCATAGGAAGTCTGTTTGTTTCTGTGTAAGTCCATGCAGTTAGAGTACTTCGCTCATCTCAGATGTCTTGGTTTCCATATATATTTTGCTATTGACCCAGTTTCATGCAATATTATGCACTCCGACAGGTGCAAGGTCTCGTGTGTGGTTGAAGAAGTCTCTTTATTTTAACTGCATCAGATTGGATCTGTCTTGTGTTACGTCTGGTAGGGACCAGCTCAGCCGTTTGGGTCTTGAGGACGCAGTCAGCGTCCAGTCTCTGCAACGTCGTTTGAAATAAAAATTAGGATAACGGATGTCACTTCACTTTGAATTGCATTTTCAGTTACGTTATATACATGACTCGAAATGGCTATGCAGATTGTCAATGCACAGTCCGTCCATTCGTGTAATTGAAGCTGTCAGCCCTCTTCATTGCGTCATGATCGTTTTTGTTGTTAGCACACGAGTCCATTATTCGATTCAGCAACTCAGTCCTACCTTTTGACTTGACGGCATACACCAGGGGTTTCTTGTGGCCCAACAGGAAGTGGTCAAAAGACGAAAGATCTGGTGATCTCGCTGGTCAAGAAATTGGACCACCTCGTCCAATCCAACGGCCTGGAAATTGTTGATTCCGAAATGTAGTCAGGTGGCTATCAAAATGAGGAGGTGCGCCATCTTGCTGCGGCCACATCTCTTTCCTGGTTAGCAGAGGAATATCTTCAAACGTCAATAGCAGCTCTTTCTATAGGAAAAATAAGTAGCACTAAGGTATCAAGCGTCCTTCAAGCACAACCGGGCCGATAAGTAGGTTTCCGATAATACTACCCCAAGTATTTACCGTGAAACGGCCTTGGAATTGCGTTTCCTTGATCTCATGAGGATTATTCTAGGATATTTCATTTTCTTCATAAACCGTTGAAGATCGGACCCAGGTTCATCAGAAATTTTCGACTCAAAATGATGCCAATAACACTTTGTTAATTTATGGACACCCAGTGTATATATTTATTTATATATATAAAGGTAAAGTTGCCCCTGTGCTTAACTAAGCACTAAGCCATGAAGGCGTACGAAGGAGTTGATGTACAGATCCATATTTTCTTGACCTCGGAACTAGCTGGAGGTCAGTTGTCAGCTTCAGGCCCTGGCCACTTTACCCCCAGGGAAATACCCCCCCCTTTCCCATTGGATATGAGCCTGGGTGGGCCTCAGAGCCGGTCTGGACGAAGCGGAGAAGAGAAAATTTTTGTCCCTACCGGCACTCAAACTTCGACTCCTCGGTCGTCTAGCCCGCAGCCAGTCGCTATATCGACTGAGCTATCCAGGCATTTATATATACGTATATATATTTTTGTGGCTATGTCTGTTTTATATAACTAACATTCGGAGCGACTGACGGTGTTGACTTTTGTTATTTGTTCTTGATCATGATTTCGCTTTTCACATTGTCGTTTCTTCTGGTTTCTCTTTCGAAATTTACACTGATAATTTAGTATTATGCTTTTCTGGAATTTCAACTCTAGTATTGCAAACAGAACACAACATTTCGGAAATTGGATCTGTTACCGTCCTCAGTTGAAAAGCTGGTAGACTGCTACACAGTAATATCGGTTTATAGAAAGAACTAATCCAAGTCACTGGACAACTCATTTCTAAGCTAAATGTGTTATTTCACCATCAGAACCCTTTAGAACTAGTCTGTTAATGATATGTTCCGCTAAAACATATTATCTCGACAGATAAGTACCAGAGAACAGCCGTTTGAAATGAGTGGCCAAGTGAAAAAGCATTGATATAGGATTCCTGTTTGTTATTTCTTAACTGCTTTCAGAGAAAGTCATTCCTTATTAGAAAAGGTGCAAATACAAATTAGAACTGAATTATTTATAAGAAACAGTAAAGATTATAGGTTTGTTATAGTGAAAGGAGATGTAATTCGTGAATATTTTGGTTATAACATCGCTGTTATTAAAATTAACTTAAAGGCTTGGTGTCACTAATTAATTAAATATCAGGAAAGAATACACATGTATTTGGTTATACACATTGCATTTATAAATACATTTTATGCTCATAAAATAATAATGTCGACCTTCTCAATGATGAAGTTCGTAACATTCTTGACGGATAAATCAAAATAAATATAGATCACATTCTGTATATCCCTTGTGCGCAAGTACACTTCCCAGTTGATTATCAAGTCATATAAAATATATTGCTGTTTATTTCCTGTATATTCCTTGTCAGAAAGTACATTTTCCAGTTGATTACCAAGTCATATATAATATCTTGCTGTTTATTTCCAAGTAGGAACCAATGTCGAGGCGGCCAATGATATCGGGTATACACATACACCACAAACGGTCATATTACTGCACCGTTAAATATGCTTGAAATTTTCTAGGGTCATACATGGATAGGTCACATAAGGTAAAGTTATCCCTGCGCTTAATTAATTAAGCCCCACGCCATGAAGACATAGGTTATTTGATTCCAAGGAAATGTATTCTTTATTAGAAACAGAATACTGCTCGTCCATTCGTGACCAGCTACATAATATACGTCCATGCAATTCTCTGGAATTCGTTGCTATGGTATTTGCGTGATTTTAGAGTTTCTACTCACTGTTACAAAACATATATATTTAATATTTTAATACTTCATATATTTAATATATAATGTATAAAATATAAATAGTTAATGATTGAGGATACAAACTGTTTAACTTCGTCAAGCAGAGACACTCATCCCAGTGAAATGTGACCACGTCATGCGTCTGCTATAATATACTATGATTATTATTATTATTATCATCATTACTTTCTTGAAATCATCAGTAAACATATGTATCTTTAATACTGATATGCAGACTTACATTGATAACTTTCTTCATCGCTTCGACTCCTGGACACCTGTTACAAGCCTATATAGACAATCATTTTGACACATCCTGTATCACGGGTTTACTAATGCATTTCGTTTCTCTGCATATAAAAATGATTGCATTATCACTTATATTCGGATTTCTTGATGCCTTATGTGTTTTGTATGCATCTTACATCCTTGTAATATGAAAACCCTTCAGGTGTTTTCTTTCGACTAATACTGGTATAGGAAATACTGAATTTCTACTAACGGTTCGTAGTCTGAGATATGCATCACTAGTCTAGCTTACAAAGGTATTTGTTTGCGATATAAAACCACTGAATAAAACGTATAAGATAAAAAATTGTACATAAAATAAATAATAATATACCTATGGAATGCATATTAATGGTTGAACGGAGTATTGAATCTCTATTTTGGGAAAGTAATTATGAATTATATCGAGAGCTCTAAAATGGATACATCTGCAGGAAGATAGATTTGTTTGGAGTTCGAACTACGTTATTGACTTAAAATATGCTCATGTCAGTATGATATCTATGCAGTACGTTCAACGAAATAAAATTATAATTCCTGTTTTAATTTGTCCTTGCTTAGTGTACTTTTAAAGAAATATCTTTTAAATATATTGTCAACTGAAGTAAGATAAATGGAGGCGTATACTTTAAAATATAAGGTGGTATCACAGTTTTCAAAATATGGGGAAAAATGTTTCTTAGAGCCATGTTTCATTTACATTCATCTGTAGTTTATTTCATGGCCCTGTCAGCAACGCAAGTTTTATGTCGTCATATGATTCGATTCCATTGAATAACGAACTGGAAAAGGTGTGGAAGGTATCTTCGTAGCCTGAAGTTAGGTACTATCCAATCATTTGGTTAAGGGACTAAGGAAAACCGCAAAAAACCTGAGACAAGATTGTCGGTGTCCCTACCGAGATTCGAACCGGGCTGTAATTAAAAAATTATATCACTTGAGTCAACATTGTCGGTAAGTTTAATTTAAAATTTGTATAATCTTTGTAGGTGTTCTGTATTTCTAGTCACGTAACATGCAATTTTATAATCATATATTTCGGAAATGATAATTTCTTTAAGTTTATAATAAATCGCTTAAATATCATTAAATTAGATAACGTAATATCGCGTATGAATGGAACAATGTTCACTGAGATCGATTACCAGCGGGCCCCCTTGTGTGGCGGACTTTGACAGAATATTCATAACTTCCTGTTGAATTAAATTTAGGATGCAAAGGACCTTCTGCTGTACCATGCCGCAGATAGACTCCCCCTTTCAATTTCAAACTTAACCAATCTAAAATACTGTGAAATGTTTTCAGAAACCATTCGATGGCTTCTGCAACTTTTTCCAAGATTCCAATGCCGTCTGCGAGGAGCCCATTTAAGCTACGTCCTAGCAAGTCATCTGATATAATTCCAGTAGTGTGAAGTAAAACGCTTTTAATATTTCCGAAACGGAGGAAGTTTACCTTCCTTACAAGAATATTTAAACCTAAATCCACAAATAACTTTTGTTGCAGTAAGTCTCCTATAATCTGCGCAATAGCGAAATTCGGAGAAATCTTTTTCAAAGTTTTACCAAAGTACCCGATCATCTCAGCCAGTGTCATATTTGGAAACCAGACTTTCTGAATTACATCTAAAATATTTTCATCGTCTAATGTATTATTTGCAAGAGAGAGCTCAGCTGAGTCCTCGACTTTCTCGATAAACTGTAATATAGTATTGTTAGGGTGATACCTCTCAAGAGTTTCGTCTATGTCTTTTAAAGCATCAATCAATTTTCCCGTATTCCAGACCACGTTTCCAAATGCTCCATACCTTTCTTGTAGACTCGTCTGGTTAATTACTTCAGGAGTATTTGGGTTATTGTGCGGTATAATCAAACTAAGTCCATGGAGAAAACCACCAATTAACCCTCCAGGTATCGGAGTCGTTGAAACAGGCTCTTCAAAGTCTTCCCTCAGTTTACCGAAACTTTTAAGCAGAGTTTGTCCACTTGCAAGTAGTGCAAAAATGTTTCCAGAATTATTGTGTTTGAATGTATCACTTAGGCTTCCGATGCTCTTCAGTATCTCCCATATATGTACTGGTATGTCCCCAATACCTCCTTCCAAGTTTCTCTGCAAATATATATCCACCAGGGCTTTTGCGCTTTGTTCTGAACTTTTAATTTTACTCGTTATATATCCTGGCTCTGGATGTTCGTTCCAATGTAAAATTGCACCCACCAGTGCCAGGGCGTTTTCAAGTATATTCTTGATATTGAAAATTACAGCGGGAACACCCCTGCCATGGCCTCCTGGTGGTGGTGCTACTGTTTTCCTTATCTGTGCAGGAGTAGTGGTCTGTGGTTTGATTCCGAGTGCTGTATCAAATATATTTTCTGCTCCACCCAGTATATTTCCAAGCAGATCTTCATGTACTGGGCTTGTATTTTTTGGAATGGCAGTTGTTGCTATACGTCTAATTTGTTTACCTTTAAATGAATTTGCTCTAGGTTTAGCGGGATTTCCCCTAGTAACTGGGGAAACATTTCCTGAAAAGAAGGGCTTTAACGGGTTTATATTGTCTATTAAGTTGTGTGCGCCCGTAAGTACGTTCCCAACCACTTTTCCAAATGCATCGGGAAGATGGAATAGGTTTTCAAGGGGCGAAGCTCGTTTTGTTCGCTCCAAGTTTTGTAATTGCTGTTGATATTCATCGTTTAACGGACTGCCCACCCCGAAGTGATTTCCTTTCTGGTTCTGTAAAAAATAAAAAAAGATTGTCTCTAATCCAGAACTTCAACAAATGTGCGAACTGACAAGTTTCAAAAACACAGAGTGAATATGGAGTATGTGAGATTTGAGGTTTTCACACCGGTGACTATGAAGAAAGCTGTTTTCTGGGATGTGGCGCCATGTAGATATTGTGTAAACCAACGTTTCGGAGGATTGGAAACAAAACTGAGAGATGTAATGTATATAAGGGGTGGGACATGAAAACCGGCCCGCGCACTGCGACCTTCAATGATCTATTGTGCTTAAACAGAGAGATTCTGTACCGACTGATATAGATGTGAAAACCTTAATGCACCGCATTAGTTTTATATATATTTTGAAAGAGTAAAGATCCTTTGTAGCCGATCACGGTAGCCGAGCGATCTAAGGCATGTACTGTCTTCGCTCGCTCGGAAGCCGGGATCGTGGGTTAGGATCTGTTTCCTGTGAGGTACGAACTGAANTTGGTGGAATGAAGATTGGCAGGGGAAACCGAAGTACTCGGAGAAAACGTGCCCCACCGCCACTTTGTCCAGCACAAATCCCACTTGACCAGACCCGGGATCGAAGCCGGGCCGCCGCGGTGGGAAGCCAGCGACTAACCGCTTGAGCTATGGCGCGGCCTACCGTGTCAATTGGAGACTCATGTGAGCGGCTGTACACCGGATAAATTCCCGTTGAGCAGTTGNAGAGTGAATATGGAGTATGTGAGATTTGAGGTTTTCACACCGGTGACTATGAAGAAAGCTGTTTTCTGGGATGTGGCGCCATGTAGATATTGTGTAAACCAACGTTTCGGAGGATTGGAAACAAAACTGAGAGATGTAATGTATATAAGGGGTGGGACATGAAAACCGGCCCGCGCACTGCGACCTTCAATGATCTATTGTGCTTAAACAGAGAGATTCTGTACCGACTGATATAGATGTGAAAACCTTAATGCACCGCATTAGTTTTATATATATTTTGAAAGAGTAAAGATCCTTTGTAGCCGATCACGGTAGCCGAGCGATCTAAGGCATGTACTGTCTTCGCTCGCTCGGAAGCCGGGATCGTGGGTTAGGATCTGTTTCCTGTGAGGTACGAACTGAATTCTTATATATTATTCCTATACACTGCCGGTCACTGTAGCCGAGCGGTCTAAGGCATGTACTGTCTTCGCTCGCTCGGAAGCCGGGATCGTGGGTTAGGATCTGTTTCCTGTGAGGTACG